AAAAACATGCATGTTAGGCTGATTGGTAACTCTAAATTGTCCCTAGGTGTGAGTGAGAGCGTGAATGTTTGTTTGTCTCGTTTGTTTCTATGTGGCCCTGTGATGGACTTACGACCCATCCAGGGTGTACCCCGCCCCTCGCACAGTGATTTTAGGACATGGGCACCAGCGACCCCCATGACCCAAAATGGAGGAAGCAGGTTAAAGATAATGGATGGATGGATGGAATATACTATACAAGACTATATTTGAAAATACTGTGCAGTTTTTAAAAATAGGCATGTCATGTTTAACCTGCTGACACCTGTTTACACCTGCTTCTTTCCTTGAACATAATTCAGTTCAGTTCAATTCAATTCAAAAATATTTATTAATCCCAAAGGTAAATTAAATGTTGTAGTTCAGTGCTTCTCAGTTATTTTCTGTTACGTCCCCCTAGGAAGACGTAAAAATTCTGCGCAGCTCCAACTCTCCCCCGCGACTGTAAATAGTATTATTTGTCTATAAAATTGTTTTAAGTACACCTCTGCATAACATTGTGTTCTTATTAACATTAAATAAAACAAACAAAAAAAGAAAGTAACATAAATCAAATTACAACAAAGAATAACTTTATTAACATTGTTTTATAGTCTGTAACAGAAAAGACTTAAAGTGCAGCAATTTTCCTGAAATAAATCTATCCTTATTCAAACTTTAAATATTTCTGACCATTTGATACTGAAAAACAAAATTAAATATAATCAATAAATAATAATAAATTCAAATTGATCAGCAACATTTTAACTCAGGAATGTTTTATAAAACACTTTGACCTACAAAACATAAATGAATAAAACAATTTGTGCTGATTTTGTATTTATTTTTTGTCCGAATGAGGAAGTCGGGTTTAATTGCTTCAATGAGCACGTTTTGCAGTGCACAGCTTTTTGAAGCAGAGATTGAAACATGATCCTGCAGCTCTGAGTCCTGCTCAATGTTTAGCTGGACCTGGACATGATCTTCAGAGCAGCAACAGCAGAGAAGCTGCAAAGAGCACAAGATCGAGTGTGTATGTGTGTGTGCATGTGCATGCGTGCGTGTGTGTGTGTGTGTGTGTGTGGGTGGGGGGGTGTCCAGGGGAATGCGCTCACAAGAGAAGAACTTGACAAGTTGTTTAATGACATAAAATGTATTTTGTTAGCAAAGAATAGTCCCAACATTTGTTAAACACTACTTTTGCATTTACAGAATAAATAAATAAATAAAATCAAAACTGTGCTTTGACAATCGATGAAACTAAAAAAATTTGTCAACGTGAACGAGGGGGCAGGTATCACTCTTGTTTTGATCTTATACTCTTTGTTGCATGTGTGCTGTGGGTGAAATGCATCCAGAGTGTCATAAAAACAGCAGTGAAGGACTGAGGAGGTGAACATATTTCATTAGCAAAGAATAGAGTCCTATCATTTACTAAACAGTACTACTGTATTAAAAAAACACAAAAATGGTGCTTTGACAAACTAAGGTAACACTCTCGCTTTGAGTTTATACTCTTTGTCGCATGCGTGCTGCGGGTGACAAGCGTCCAGAGCATCATAAAAACAACAGCGGCGGTGTCGGAGTTATTTATTTATCGTCTCAGCAGCAGAGGGGAGCAACATGGTTCAAGCATGGCTCCCAAAACACCAGACAGCCATATTTATTCATAACTTTATTATTAGTAAGCCTGAGAGTTGCCAAATCTTAGCAAACGGTTGCAGAACAAACCCTGACAAAACGAGAATGGTGCAAAGAAAAAAGCCCTACTCCCTGCTACAAAATGTTCCCCGGGGTCACATGACCCCCTCGGCATTGCTCCAAGCCCCCCCAGGGGGGGGCGCACCCCACTATTTGAGAAGGACTGTTGTAGTTCATCACCCTGGATTCATTACAGAGTTGTTATAGATCCTGATGGCTGTGGGCAGGAAGGATCTCTTGTGGCGGTCCGTCCCACAGTGGATCTCAAGAATATAGCCGCAGAGTTAATCTGGCCACCCAGACCAGGTGGGCCTCTCGGTCCTCCTGGGCAACAGGACGACATGAATGTCAGGCAGAGCACCTCTCTGAGTGAAGATCACTTGTCCCAGCAGTTTGCTGAGCTCCTCATCAAAGTGGACAACCAGCTGCAGGTGTCGGGGGATTATCCCGGTCCTCCTGCTGCACGAGCCATGCCTCCAGCCAGCTCTAGGATCAGTCAGATGCTCAAACACTGCTGCCAGATAGATGGGAATGCATCCAGGCACCTGCTTTTTAAGCCATTTGAGATTTGGGGCTGTAGTTTAGGTATTAATTCAATTTTTGATATGTTAATCAGCTGCTCTTATCTTTTTTTCTTTCGGCTTTTCCCTCTTCAGGGGTCACCAGCGAGTCATCCTTCTCCACCTCACCCTGTCCTCTGCATCCTCTGTCCTCACTCCAACTACTTCCATGCCCTCTCTAACTGCATCCATACACCTCCTCTTGTCACGAATCACGTTCCATAGATTATATTTTCTGTCACCCTGATCACTCTTTAAAGTTTGCTATAGATCTTTTCTGTGAGTTTCATTTATTCTGTCCACTCTGGTAATGTTTTGTGTGCATGAGTTTTAGTTTGTCTACTTTGCATGCTGGTTGAGGGTGATGTCATGGTTGTTTAGTTTTGTCTTCACTGCAGCCAGCAGCAGCTGATTGAACTCAACTGGCTGCACCTGTCTCTCTCACCCTTTAAAAGCTGCACTCTTTCTCCTCTTCGGTGCCCGGTAGTTGAAAACAGTTCACTGCAAGTAAATACCGCGCATTTATGATCCTGCCTTGTTTCCCCTTAGCCTTTGCGTCCCCTTGTTATAGTTTACCTGTCTCCTTGTTCCTGTCCTGCTCCTGGTTCTTGTTTTCCCCTCTTGGCTTGACCTCCCGGCTCATGGACCCACGACTCACCTGGACATCGTCTCTCGCTCGACCCTTTGGATTATTAAATCTTCTGCTTTCGGTTCTGACCTTCGCCTGCACGACAACGTCTCTTCGTCTTCTCCTCCGGTACCTCCTGTCTTCTGCTCCAGTTTTGGACCCTGGCTTGTGTGACCATGTCTCTTCGCTCAACGGACTCGCCACCCACCTGTCGCTGCAGCCCCTCACCGGACTCAGCCTCTCCTGCAGCAATCCGGATCAGTTTGGACCTCGTCAGTCTCTAGAACCTTCAAGCTCATCTGAGACGGTTAGTGGTCCTCCTCATTCTGACTTTTGCACTCCCATCATCTCCTGCACGACCACTAACCGATCTCTGTCTCATAGACTCGTTCCTGATCCGGAACCAGAACCCAACCCAGAACCGGTTCAATCTGCTATACTTCACCTTGAAAATAAATACGATTTTAATTTTGACTTTTTGTGTGGTGATTTTTGGTCCAACCGTTAGGTGGTTCGTTACACCTCTTTGGCCTTGCTCTTTGTTTTTTTTCTTAGCAGCTGCATTTCAAACATCCTTCTACCAATATACACACTGTCCCTCCTCTGGACATGTCCAGACCATCTCAGTCTGGTCTCTCTAACTTTATCTCCCAGTTGTTCAACATGTGCTGTACCTCTGATCTCATTCCTAATCTTATCCATCCTTGTTACTCAAGGAGAACCTCAACATCTTCATTTCTGCCAGTTCTTTCTCCTGACTTTTTGTCAGTGCCACTGCCTCCAGACCATACGACATAGCTGGTCTCACCACTGTCTTGTAAATGTTTCCTTTGACCTTTTGCTTATATCCTTTTGTTGCAAATCACTCCTGAAACGTTTCTCCTGCCTGGACTCTATTTTTTACCACACTCCCCATTTTCCTGGATAGTGGACCACTTGAAGTCCTGCCCCTTTTACACAGCCTCTAATAAGCCCCAACTTTGCTCAGCCCTGCACACCACTACTCGGCCTGGCTCAGCTCAGCCTGGATTTGCACCTGCACTTTAGGACAGATTCTGGAGGCG